CACGGACTGCGCCAGTGGGACCTTCGGTGGAGCTCCCTGTGGCGTGGGACGCATGCGGACTGCGCCACTGGAACCTTCGGAGGAAGCCACGGAACGCTGTACTGGGTGGGGTAACCACGTGTGAACTGCGCCACTGGGACCTTCGGCGGAGCTCCTTCTGGGTCCACGAAACGCTGTTTCGGGCGGGGGAACCGCATGCGGACTGCGCCATTGTGACCGTCTGCGGAGCTCCCTCTGTGGCCACGAAACGCTGTATCATGGGGGGGGCGCGTGCGGACTGCGCCACTGGGACCTTCTGCGGAGCTCCTTCACCGGCCACGAGAAGCTGTATTGGGTGGAGGGGGCGCATGCGGTCTGCGCCACTGGGACCTTCGGTGGAGCTCCCTCTGGGCCACGAAACGCTGTACTGTGTGGGGGGGACGCATGCGGACTGCGCCGCTGGAACTTTCGGTGGAGCTCCCTCACTGGCCAGGAGACGCTGTACTGGGGGGGGGGGGGGCGCACGCGGACTACGCCAGTAGGACCTTCGGTGGAGCACCCTCTGGGGCCACGACACGATGTACTGGGCGGGAGAGACGCGCGCGAGCTGCGGAGGAGGAAAGAGGGGGAGGAGGAGGGCAGGAGAAGGAGAGGAGAGGAGACGAGAGGAGAGGAACGCGGGGCGCTGTCTCTTCAAACCAAGGACCAACATTACATAATGGTTGTAAAAAGGGAATTCCAAGAACTCCCTTTTTCAACTTGGCCTCTGTTTATTTCTGCACAACTGACCATAATCTAGGCCCCCGTCACCACCGAAGAAAGATCCCAGGAAGCCTTCGAGGGCTCCAACTCATCGAACACCTAAAGGAAAGTTATGATTTTGCGGTTTCCACATTGCTCTTCTTTACGCTGCCGAGGCTTGCGCAGGGGCTCCAAGAAGGTCGTTAGATGCACAAGGCACTTCAACCATTTAGATTCCATGCGTTAGCCTGTCGAGCCTAGCTAGAATTTGAGCGCGCGCGAAGCGCACGCGATGGTTATATTTATATGTAAATGGAGGGAAAGAGAGAGAAAGAGAGAGAGAGAGAGAGAAAGAGAGAGAGAGAAGGAGAGAGAGAGAGAGAGAGACAGAGAGAGAAGAGAGAGAGAGAGAGAGAGAGAGAGAGCGAAAGAGAGAGAAGGAGATATCCTGGAGGACAGGGCTGGTGGCTTCCATGGAGGCCCCTGCACGCGCCATGGGTGCCCCGGGGCCCCTGGAGCGCCTTGGGATCGCGCCAGGAGGCTCAAGGTGCCCCCAGAGGGTGCTAACAGAGCTCCAACAGCGGTCCAAGAGGCCTCCAAGGCATCCCAAGAGAGCTCCAGGACCCCCAGGATGCCCCCCAGAGGACCTCAAGACCGCGACACGCTAAGCATCGTGACGCGACCCGCTAAGCAACAGTTCTCGACCGCAGGCAGGGTCGGGGAACGATGATGATGCTGATAATGAGACGGACGAGGACGATGATGATGATGGCCATCATGTTGATACGTGCTCTTGACGTACCACCATGGCCAGCAGGATTGGGCCAAGGATGTTATCCATGGTGTCAGTTGTTGGTGTTGTTGGTAGTGAATATTGTCATGCTAGCTTTTATGATAACGAATACTATGATGATGAAGAGTATGAGGATTACTTCTGAAATCAGGAGGTTGGTGAGGATTGATTGGTAGGATTATGTCACGCGCTTGCGCTTAATAGCGCTGTCCAAGATCTTTCAGAGCCCCTCCAGCCTGGGCGCGCGCGGGCGCGCGTGTACGCGAAGCGCCCGCGATGTTTCCAGCGCGTACAATATATATGTATATGCACACATATGGTTTTTGTGTATCCATGCATACTGCGCGCACCAGTCAGAGTCTGCATTCTCTGTCCACGCCAGGGTCGCAGGGCAATGCTTGCGCGGTCTTCTCTCGGTGCCAGCGACGATGTGCATGGACTGGTCCCTGAGCGCGGTCTCGATCGGCTCCAGGTCGCAGGGCGTGTCAGGTGCAGCATATGCGCGACCCAGAGTGCATGCGCAGGGGTGGTCCCTGACCGCAGTCCCTATTCACGCCAGGGTCACAGGGCGTGGCAGGCATGGCCTCACGCCAAGAGGGTGTTCGCAGGAATCTGCCCTCGAACGCGGAGCGCCAGGGCGGTCGCGGGGACGTCTCCGGCGGTCCGGTATCCCCCGCCTTCCTTGTGTCTTCTACGAGTGCAGGGCAGCGCTAGGATTTTGGCAGCAGTACACCACGTGTTTTTGTAATTGCCTGGTGAACTCGATCATACGTCAAGTCCACTATTCCAGATGCCCCGCGTTGTCCCACCAACCCATCCAGAAGCGACGCTTCGGCGAACTGTCTTGTTTAGGGACGTGGATGAGCATGCCGCGGAATCAGTGGTTGGGGAAACCATCGTACCAGGTAGTGCCCCAAGAGGGGGAGGATGGAGGGGGAATTGGAGGAGGAGGAGGGGGTGATGAGGGGAGGACGGACTAGGGAGGAAGAGTGGGCGGATGAGGCAAGAGAGGAGGAGGAGGACAAGGAGGAGGAGGAGGAGGAGGAGAAGGAGGATGCCTCTCGGATTTTGTTGAGTCCTTTCGGGGTATCTTTGGTTTATTTTGGCAGTCCCGGGAACTGCTATGGGCGTTTTGGGTGTTTCGGTGTTTCGGGGGTGCCTCTCGGGGCCTCTTGGGGGCCTCTTGGGGGCCTTTGGGGTGCACGTTGTGCAAGCGTTCCAATGCATCGTGTTCCACAGTACCACTTTCAAACGCAAGCGTTTGAACAACAGCTAGGGTGCCTAGCGCAATCGTTAGTAGTTTCTGGGATCCAGTGCACGTGCTTCGAATATTACAGTGGCTATGCGCACGTGCCGGAAACTTCGAGTGGAAGTGGCTGTAAGATATGTCAGAGCTGTGTTAAGAATAATGTTGGAGTTCTGGCTTTTTGGAAACCTTCAGCTCTTGCACCCAATCCGCATTGTAAGGGTGAGCAACTTCACAGGGCTACCCTTGCATCGCTCCCCTTCGGCCCATACTTGGCCGCTTTCTTTGGTTGCGCCCCACTCCCAAAGTGTCCTCGTCGCCTTCCTGAGGCCATTGCATGCTTGTCGTGCGTACTTGTCCAACGGGCGCGCATGGAGCTGCCGTGGGGCTGCCTGGAGGCTCCAGCGAGCCCCAGGGATGCGTCCGCGAGCTCGCGCAACCCTCGGGCCTAGACCCGCACCCCTCTGGGCTTCCCCCCTCTACACTCAGGAGGGGCAAAAACACAGACACAATTAATCGCCCATTCCCCAGAAAATATGGGAAAAGATGGGAAGTGGGGGGGAAGATAGAAACCCAGAACTTATGGGAAATTCTGGGGAATGGTTTCATTTGTGTGTATTCATTTGTGTGTCCGAGTTCCCCTTCATACACAGCGATGTCTTGGGCCAGGGAGAGGGGGGGGAACGGTGGATGGGGCCAGCCACTCCTCTCGCACGCGTTTCCCACTTCGGACCTTTGCGAGGGTCGGCGGGCTCCACGCACCCCCTCCCTCGGCGACATCTGCCTCGGACCTGCCGGCGCTGCGCCGACGTCGCGCACGAGGCGCCTCGCACATGGGAGCCCACGCAGCACCCCCGGGGAAAGGGGTCAGGAGCTCCAGGGGCCGCGCACTGGACCCTGAGATCCGCTGAGATGTTTCCCTGTAGTTTCCGCGCCCCCGATCCACGTTTGCTGGTCCCCTGGCCCCATGATGCGCGCCGAGATGGAGGAAACACGCACGGGTAAAAAAAACAACACGTCGGAGTTCGCATGTTTGTCTGGGCCCATTCACCCATTTCCCTGCCCCTCCCTCCCCTTCGCTCCCTCTTCGCGCAGATCCCCCGGGACGGGACGGCCCAGGAATTCGCTCGTCTCCACGTTCCTCCCCCAAGGCCGGCAGAAGGGGAAAGCGAAGCGAGTGGCCCGTCGAACCCTGCGATTGAAGATCCCCCCAAAGACCCCTCGCTTCTGCCCAGCGTGGCCAGGGCGGTCGGTGCCTGGACACTTCGATTTTCCTGTGCGCCTGTCTATCACCACCAGGAGCCCCCGAGGGCGATTGATCTGACTACTCTTCCCCTTCGGTAGGGGGCAAACTTATCTTCATCTCGCGTTTACCTTTTCCTCAGAAGCAACGAAAGCCGCCCCAGATATGGGACGTCTTGATTCTTTCAAGGCGGGATACCCAGAAGTCCCTTAACGCCTCTTTCCCTAGGGCCGGTTTCTCATCCTGAGTCGTTTCTGACCTTTCTTGGGCCGAGCGAGTGTTGCGGGAGACCAGAAACTATCAAAACAAAACCAGATCGCAGTGAGCATGTCCATTGGCGTCACCCCAATGTACTAATACTATGTGTGCGTCGCCCCCCCCCAATGGCGACGCGCGCGCCGAGAAATCTTATAGTATAAGCTCTGTGGCGGGCGCTGTCTGGCCATGCCGTTCGGGAAACGATATACTACAAGACGTTTGTACGATATGTTCGGTTCAGACAGGCGCCCCCAGCAGACGCACATAGTCCCAGCATGTCCTCATCCTCGTCCTGGCTTCGTCTTACAGTCAACCTGCATAGCAAGGGTGGGCAATTTTCCCAAGGGCACCCATGCATCCTGGCCTCCCCCGTCTATTCTTGGCCGCTTTGGCTGGCCGCGCTCCGCCCGAAAAGCCTCGGCATGGCCTTCCAAGTCCCCTGCACCCTCATCGTGCATCCTTGTGATACGCGTCGACTGCAGCTCAGGGTGGGGTGCATCGGCTCCCAATCGCCCACTTGCCGCCGAGGGGGGCCCGGCTTCCAGCGTCTGCGCCGGCACCCCCGCGCCCACCGGCTTGGCATCTCTCGGACGTGTGCATTTTTCCTTCGGCGAGGACCATTGAGGAGCATCCTTGATCATTTGGCGAGAAAAACACGCACGAAACCGAAACAAAACACAGGGAATGGACGTCCGAGCGATGGCCAGCCGGCTGGCGGCCCGCCCGGGACCGACCCGCAGACACACCCTGGAGCAGCTCCGGGACTTTATCAAGATCGCGCCAGAGGCCGCGGCTGCCGCTGCCGCGGGGCGGGCCGGACGGACTCGGGCTTCAGCCACGCGCAGAGTTCGACTACACGTAAGAGTGACCTTTCACCGGAGTGACCTTTGGTGCGGGCCCAATGGGGCCCCCGATCGCCGAACGCGATGCGGTAGTTGCGTCTCGCGCGCTCGTGTTTGGCTCCCTCGCGCCCCCAAAACCTGCGCACCAAAGGTCACTCTTACCCAGGGTCACTCTTACGTCTAGCCGAAGAGTGGGGGGTAGAGTCGTTTTCACGAAGGGAGGTTTCCGAAAGGCAGGTTTTGTCCGCCGCCGATCGAGCCAAGGCGCTGGAGGCAGGGTCGTTTTGGGGGCGTCAGGAGGGGCTCGAGTTCCGGGCCGCTTCTCAGATAGCATGTCGTGGAGCCTGCTCGTGGCCCAGGCCCGGCGTGGCCAGAAAAGCCCCATTCGTGCCTCGTGCACGATGGCTGCAGGGCGTGGGGGGAGGGGGGAAAGGCTTCTTCTTGGAGGGGGGCTGCTTCTCGGAAGCCGCGGGCCTTCTCCCCAGAGATCCGACGCCGTGAGTTGTTCCATATACGTGAGTTGACCCACTCCCCAGCACCAGTGTTTCATCCTGAGTCGTTTTCGACGATCCCGAGGCCCGGCGAGGGCCCCCCAGGGGCCGAAATTTGGGAACAACCTCCGTCGTGATTTTTGTCACTACGCTGGATCTCTGGGTCTGTAGATGCAGGGCCAGCGCCTTCTGAGCAGCGGCCTCCCTCCAGGCAGCCTCCCCCCCCTGCCCCCCCCCCCCCCTCTGGGCGCGCCGCCGGCAGACGTGGGACCCGCAGGCGACTGCTCGCCTCTCCCCTCACCCCCCCCGCCGTTCCCACCGAGAATCCATGATGGGCCCGTTTTCCACCACCACCACCACACCACCACAAGTTGGGAGGGGAGAGGGGTTCCTCTTCCCCCTCCTCCTCCTCCTCCTCCTCCTCCTCCTCCTCCTCCTCCACCTCCACCTCTTTCCCCCTCCAACTCATGGTGATGGTGGTGGGAAACAAGCCCGTCAGTCCAGCCGCTGGACCGGGCGGGGATACTGGGGGTGACACCCTCAGGGGGGCCAGACGCACCCTGGGGACGGTCGCCCCCATGTTGTGTACAGCGGAGGCCCATGCCAAGAAAACGCCCTGCTCGCCTCCAGGGTGCCATGGGTTTCGATGGTCGTCTTGCTATGGGAAGCGGCGCGACGCTCCCACACCAAAAGTCGATGGACGTCCTGGGATCTCAGGGTCGGGTTTCTTGCGGAAGGCTTCTTGTGGTCGGGAGAATGCTGTATCCCCGAGTTGGGCCTCACATGCCGTGGCCAAGTGGGAAGCCCCACGAAGTTGAGGAAGGGGTCGGCATGTTCCCTCTTACCGGCGGCGCCCATGCGGGGTCCCGAGAGGTGTGGCCTTCTAAGATATAGGCGGCCGGTCTTCTCAGAAGCCTTCTGCGAAGCCTCTGGGCCTTCTCAGGATTTCCCTGCCTTCTGAGAAGACCCTCCGCCCCAGCTGACGCTGCCAGGGGTCGGTTGGGCTCGGACGGGACGTGATTGTGCTGTGCCAGATCTCCGTTGACAGGATTGCTTTTGCTCGATCTGGTCGTGTCTCCATGATCTTGGCTTCAGGGGCCCGCCATGGAGCCCGAGGGCAGTCCAGAACGGATCCCGGGCGAACAGTTGGCCCCGGGGGGGATGGGGTCGGGACCTCCGGTGGCCGCGTGCTGAGAGAAAGAGGGAGGGAGAGGGAAGCAGCTGTGCACCTCGAGCCCTCTCTGGGGCGGCCCCCGGGGTTCCGTATACCAAGCAGTGGCGAAGCGTCCTGGCGTGCCTATAAAGGCCTACCACACAACGTTCTAAGAACCTTCTTGTGGTTTCGACGACTTTCTTTCTTGGAACAGTTCTGGCTGGGGCTGTCCTGTTCTGTCGCATCGGGCTCGTGTCCCGAGGGCCTCGTCCGTGTCCTTAGGGCTCGCTCCTGGCTTCCAAGAGCACTTCGTGGTAGCCCTACAGTCGGGGCGTTAAGAAGGAACCCTTTTCGTTGGGGAAGGGCTCAGGGTTCCTTGATTGCTGCACAGCTTACCTGAGGTTTTCCTTAGGTTTTCGACGGGACACCGAAGTTGAACTCATGGATAAAAGGAGCCCCGTTCCTTAATTCAGGGTTCCTCAGGTCAGCGCCCCGACGGTATGGGAGTTGCCGGGGCGGCCGGCCCCTGCTCCAGCAGACGGGCGGGCCCGTCGCCGTGAAGCGGGCGGGCGCGCCGCGGGAGAGGCAGGCCCCCCCCCCTTGAGGGGCCGGGCAGCGCTCCAGGCGCCGGGCGCGCGCGCGCTCTGCTCGGCGAGGCCAGCGCCCGAGCACCAGGTCGGGCACGTGCAATCCTACGGGGGGGGAGCTCGGACGAGCAGCAAAAAACATAGCCAAGACATAGCCTTGGCATCGCTCGGACGTGTGCATTTTTCCTCGGTGGGGGCCATCGAGGGGCATCCTTGATCATTCGGCGAAAAAACCACGCACGAAACCAACAAAAACACACAGAGAGAATGGACGTCCGAGCGATGGCGAGTAGCTCAGAATATTCAAACATGGTCCAGGAATCGTCCCCCGACGATGTTTTGACGGGTGTTTTGAAGATTCCTCCCGTAGAGGGGCAAGCCCGTTTCAACAGAACACCTGAGCGGCGCCAAGAGAGACGGGGCCTGCGTCCGCACTGGCGCATAAGATGCCCGCGTAGGCTCGCGCGGAAGCGCCCTCGTCTCCAATGACATTGGAGAGGAGGGCGCTAGCGCAGGAGACTCAAGGCGTGAGCGCAGGACATGGCTCGGAAATGCGGACGCGCCGCACCGGTTTTCGCGCAAGAGAGCCACAGCGTTGTTCCCTTTGGAAGATAGCTCCGTCAAAGTAATATAATGAATTTTCCGCTTCTGTGGCGTGCCGCGCCGGCGAAACGCGCAAGCCACCGCGCAAGGTCGCCACGTCATCTCGCGTAAGACCCATTTTTGATCGTCGCCCATCTGGACCATCCTGGAGCATCGTGGGCCACCCTGAGAAACAAAGAAAGCACGAGACCAAGCAATACACGGCGAAGGGGCGTCCGAACGATGGGGACAGGCGGCGCGCACAAGGGGGTGGCGCGACGCGAGCGGGTGGCCTTCTAACGGGGCCGCGCGCTTCTCAGAAGGGCAGGGGCCGCCTCGATGCCCTCGACTTTGGAGCTTTTCCGGGTTTTGCGCTCCCTGCCCTGTCGCCGGGTTCGCCTGGTTGCGCTTCTTGGATAGCCATCCTCAGGGGCAGCGGATTCCTCCATGCCCTCTTCCTTGGAAGAAAAATGGAAGGGGCCTTCTCAGAAGAGTAGGGGGGCACATGCGAACCCTACCCCTACCCCCCACGATTCCTGATGGGGGAGGGTGGGGTTCACTCCGTTCGGGAGCTCCCGAGCGGAGCGAACTCCACCCTCCCGCTCAGATATCGTGGGGGCAGGGGTAGGGTTCGCATGTGCCCCCCTAAGAAGGGCCGGGGGGCTTCCGAGAAGGCTTCTCCTGGAGGCAGGGAGGGCTTCTCTCGGACGGCCCGCTGCCTCCTTGGAAGCTCCCCCCGTTTTCTCGGGAGGCCGCCCCCCTCGCGCTATACCCCCTCGCGCGGGCCACCAGGAGTCTTGGCACTGCTCGGACGTGTGTTCTTCTCGGCCAGGATTATGTCGGGCCTGTCCCCCTCTAGGGGGATTTTGGACGAAAAATGAAAAATACCCAAAACATACACCGAAAGGGTAAAACAAAAACCAAAAAAATAGTCCCCATATTATTTTTGGACTATTTTCGATTCTTTTTGGGTATTTCTTGTTTTTCGTCGAAAATCCCCCTGTAGGGGGACAGGCCCGACTTAAGGCCAGGTCCATCGAGGAGGATCTTGGACTGTTCTGCGCAACCGCACACGCACGACGTCGAAAAACATGTACGTGGAATGGACGCCCGAGCGATGGCGAGGTGATCGTCGTTTGACTCTTGTTCTGCCGATCGGCGCGGGCCCTCGCACCCGCCCCCCCTTTGGAATCGATTGTACCTGTTTGTGGCGCTTGTTTCACGCAGGTGGAGTCTCCCCCCATAGGACAAAGTGTTGTAAATAATCGCCTTAAGCAGAGGTCCGGAGCCAGACCCCCCCCTCCCCCCCTTTCCGCCCAATGTCGAAACGCCGAATAAGAAAAAAAAAAAACAGGGAGTGAGAGATGTGTTAGTTAGCCCACGCCCTCGGCCTCCAGGGGGGCCTCCGCGGGCCCTGGCACTCTCGGCGAGCGACTCGGGACGAGGCGCTGGCCCCGAGGGACGGCACCCAGGGATCCCAGGATCCTCGGGAGACCCGCCTCCCGCCAGCCCCGTCCCAGACCTGCGGCGAGGCGATCTGTGTCCATGCTCACCAGAGACAGAAGTACCACTACCACCAGCTGGGGGGGGGGGCTGTCCCACCCTCTCGAGCTGGCGGCACCTCGTTCCGGGCATGCCTCCAGAGAGTTACCGGAAGGAGGTGCCACCAGCTCGAGGGGAGGGAGCGGCCACCCCCCTAGCTGGTGGTAGTGGTACTTGTGTCTCTACTGACACGCGAGGCCCCTTCCAGGGGGGAAGATTATATCGCCCCCGGCCCTCCTGTTTTGGTGGCATGTCTGGGGAGCCTCGTGCACCCCCCGCTTGATTCCATCACTCTAGCGTCGCTTAGCGTCGACTAATCGATGAGATAGCGCCGACTTAGAGTCGATCAGCGTCGATTGGAGTCGATGGGCGTCGATTTCGCGTCAACATACGCCGCTTCGCAAGAGCCAGCAAGACGGTATGGGAGGCTCCGAGGAGGGCTCCCGCGAGCTGCCACCGAAGTCTGCAGAGCGTTCTGGAGCGCTCTGAGACTTGGCATCGCTCGGACGTGTGCGTTTTTCCTTCGGCGAGGAACATCGAGGAGCATCCTTGATCATTTGGCGAAAAAACCACGCACGAAACCAAAAAAAGCACACGGAATGGACGTCCGAGCGATGGCCAGGAGAAGGGACGCGGCGCCCAAGATATCCTCCACCCCTGCCATATCTCATGGGTTCTCGATGTATCCTCGCCCGAGTGACCCTCGTCCTGGCTTCGCCTCATGCTTCCTGCCACGCCCGGCGCCCCAGATTCCGCAGCCCGACGCGGACCCCGAGCACGTCAGGCTGGTGGACGCGGTCAAGCAGGGGCAGCGCACCGACGAGGCGGGGCTTTTTCCTTTTCGAGCTGGAAGCTCGACGACAGCACCGCCGTGCCCCAGAGTTTCGGGGGCAGCGATGGGCGAGGATAGGCATGGGGGGGGGGATGCATCGACCCCCAATCGCCCCTGGATCGCCGATGTGGGCCCCATGGCCCCACCCCGCCCGGAAAGCGTGCGGAGGCGCTGTCTGGGGGCCTACCGCCGACCTGTTGGCGATGCCTCGTCGATTCCAGGGCGGTGTGCCCCTCCCTTGTGCCAGCCCCCGCCCCCCATCGTTGCCCCTCAAACTGCTGCTTCGTGGAGTCGGCGGCAACTGTGTAGAAGGCTTCGTAGGTTTTCGATCATGTCACACATGCTTCGAATCAGGCGCGAAAGAAGGACGTACACGTACACGAATCCGCGTTGGTTTGGAGAGTACGCATTGCGCGACTCTCTCATTTACATGGTTGGGTGCGTACGTCCTTGAATGTCTCCCCATCGCAGACTCGATGAACAAATCAATTTTGGGGTACAGTCGGACCGAGGTTTGAGTTCGAGGTCGCTTCGGGGAGGGTACCCCGGTGTCCTGCGTGCTTGTCGGATGATCTCGTGTGTCCTGGGGGAGGGCACCCTCGCATGCTCTCCAGTTTGGCCAGCGGAGGGTCTCGTGCGGGCAATCTTTGTATTCATTTCCAGGACCTCGTGGACGTTCGTGGAAGGGGCGTCGCAAGGTCGAGGCGCACTGGACACGGATAAGATTCGTCGAGCCTCTGGCAGGGGCAAAGGGAAGGTGGGCAGGTGCCGCGCCCGTGGTGCGCATGCGCTGCCTCGCCTTCCCGGGCCCAGGGCCGCCCGTGTCGGGGGTTGACAGACCTCCTACCCTGACACGTCGATTAGTAAATTGTTTTTTTCTGTTCTCGAGAGGGCTCCGCGGCCGTTATTTTCCAGGCTGGCGCCCGCCAGGTCTGGGCCCGAGATCGTTTTCACTAAGCCACGTTTTGCTAAAGGAAGGTCTGTCCATCCCCGACCGTGCGTGCGCGCTGCACTGCGGTGTGGTGGCGGATGCCCCCTCGGCTCCGTCCGGTGTCTCGCTGCTCGGAGGAGGCACAGGGTACCGATGCCGCCAGCCTTTCCTCGTTTTCCTTCCTCGGGGCCCGTTTTCCCCCTGCTTGGGCTTCCCGGGAGGCCCTCGTCGCCACCGCCGGATTCGCCTCGAAATCCTGGCCAGCACGCACCCCAGGAGAGGTCCGGGGAGCAGTGGTGTCGGTACCTGGTGGTGTCCCCTCCCCTGCTCCCGCCGGCCTGGGCCGTCGTACACCCAGGCCCCTCTGCCCCCCCGCCCCCCGCCCCCTGCAGCGGGGGCCCAACGCCAAGAGACACCCCCTGCTCGCCTCCAGGGTGCCCTGGGTTTCGTGGGTTGCGATGGTTCTGCTGTGGAAGGTCGTGACGTTCCCGCACCCGAGATCAATCGGACGTCCTGGGGCCTCAGGGTTGGGAGGGTTATTGTGGAAGGTTTCTTGTGGACTGGCCTCCACTGTATTCCTCTAGGCCTCCTGGATGGGGTCGGAGTAGGTGGGGTCGGAGGATCGCGCCGTATCGACGATGCATCGCCGATGCATCGGCGATGCATCAACGATGCGGCTTGATGTGGGGCACAGTTTTCTCCACGCCGACGTCGCCGATGCATCGCCGGCGTCGCACATGCCTGGCCGATGCATCGCCGATGCATCGGCGATGCATCGCCGATGTATCGGCGATGCGGCGAGATCCTCCGACCCCATCTAGGAGGCCTCATCTAGGAGGCCTCAAACTCCCGCACCTCCTCCTCCTCCTTCTCCTCCTCCTCCTCCTCCTCGTGGCGGGGCCCAGAGGCCCCGCCCGTCGCCCGTCGCCACACGGGGCGCGCTCGCGCTCGCGCGAGCCGAGGGGGACCTGCCCCGTCCGCCGACGGGGCCGCACGCGTGAGCGTCGGGCTGGGCTTCGGTGCGGCTGCGCGCGTGCGAGGCGTGCGCGGGGCTGGGCTGGATTACCAGCCTCGAGCGTATCCCTGTCCCTAAGATCGACACGCCAAGAGGCGATGCCAATCTCAGGGATTCGCCCTCAAAGAATAGGGGGATCCCTAAGATTGCCGTCGTGATGAGGAGGTGCCCAGCATAGGGATAGGGATATGTTCCAGGCTCGTAACTGGAGTCCCCCTCTCGGAGTCGGCCAGTCGGCCAGTCGGGGAGTCGGCCAGTCGGGGAGTCGGGGAGTCGGCCAGTCGGCCAGTCGGGGAGTCGGGGAGTCGGCCAGTCGGGGAGTCGGGGAGTCGGGGAGTGGTGGAGGGAGGACCGGAGGTGGATAGACCTCCTACCCTGACACGTCGCTTAAGGAATTGGCCGTTTTCTGTTCGCGAGGGGGCGTCGCGGCCGTCATCTTTGCGGGTCCAGGTCCGTCGGTTTCGGTCCCAGGCCGTTTTCACTAAGAAGAGGTTTGCTAAAGGGAGGTTTGTCCATCGCCGAGAGTTGGTGCCTACGCCCATCTCCACCTCTTTCTCCGTCCCTATCTCCATCGCCTTCGCCGCCTTCGTCTCCACTTCCATCCTTCCTCCTGTCGCACTCGGCCCCGTGTCCATCCTTCTTCGGTCCCTCACCCAGAGTATGAAAGATGGTGCTGCTGGCAGGGCTTCAAGCAAGCCTGGTGGAAGTTCTGCGAGGAGCATGGCTCCAAGATGATGGACCCCTCGAGGCACGAGAAGCCCTTCCTGGAGTCCTTCCTGGCAGCCGCGGCCGCCTACGGCAAGGCTCCCTCGTGAGCCATTCCCCGACGGGCTTGCATGGGATGACCTCGGAGAGCTTCCGGGGGGTCAGGATGAGATGAGGGAGGAGGAGGAGGAGGGGGATGATGATGATGATGATGATGATGATGATGATGATGATGATGATGATGATGATGATGATGATACTGATACTGATACTGATACTGATACTGATACTGATACTGATACTGATACTGATACTGATACTGATACTGATACTGATACTGATACTGATGATGCTGATGATGGTGGTGATGCTGATGTTGATGATCATGTTGATGATGATGCTGATGATGATGATGCTGATGATGATGATGACGGTGATGGTGATGGTGGTGATGATGGTGATGATGATGATGACGATGCTGATGGTGGTGCTGGTGATGGTGATGTTGGTGATGCTGGTGATGGTGATGATGGTGCTGATGATGGTGATGGTGATGTTGATAAAATACAGGTGATGCTGGTGATGATGACGATGCTGGTGATAATGATGATAATTACAAGGATTATGAGTATGCTGATGATGCTGATGATGCTGCTGATGATGTCGATGCTCATGATGATGATGATGATGATGATGATAATGAGCATCATTGTGATGGTGGTGATGCTGCCACTGCTAATATGGTAAAGCTGCTTCTGATAAATCTGATGATGACGATAATGCTGATGATGCTGGTGAGGATGATGGTGACGATGATGCTGATGGTATTGATGCTGATGCTGCTCATGATGAAGATGCTGATGCTGCTGATAATGACACTGATAATGGTCATGATGAGGCTGATCAAGAGGATGATATTGAGGATGAGGATGGTTACGATGATGATGAGGAGGAGGAGGAGGATAAGGATGATAACGAGGATGAGGATGAGGATAAGGATGATATGGTGATGGTGATGATGGCACTGCTGTTGATGATGCTGATGCTGCTGCTGCTGCCGATGATGACGACGATGACGACAATGATACCGATGATGATGTTGCTGCTGCTTATGCTGATGATGATGATGATGATGATGATGATGATGATCGTGATGATGATGATGATGATGATGATGATGATGATGATGATGATGATGATGATACCGATGACGAAAACGACGATGCTGCTGATTCCGATGATACCGATGATGACGACGATGACGACAATGATACCGATGATGATGTTGCTGCTGCTTATGCTGATGATGATGATGATCGTGATGATGATGATGATGATGATGATGATCGTGATGATGATGATGATGATGATGACGATGATGATGATGATACCGATGATACCGATGATACTGATGGTACTGATGCTGCTGATGCTGATGATACTGACGATGCTGTTGATTATGATGCCAGTGGAATTGCTGCTGACGACGACGATGGCGAAGATGCGGATGATATTGATGACGGTGATGCTGATGATTAACATGATGCTCATGATGAGACAGATGATGATAATGATGATGCTGATGGTTATGCTGATGCTGATGCTGCTGATGCTGATGCTGATGATGATGAGGATTATCATGATGATGTTCATGATGATGCTGATGCTGATGGTGATGCTGCTGATGCCGATGATCAAGATGATTAGGATGATGCTGGTGATGCTGCTAATGATGGTGATGCTCATGATGATGCTGATGCTGCTGACGATGATGACGAAGCTGATGATTCTGATGATTATGGTGATGATTAGGACGATGATCATGCTCATGATCATGATCATGCTGATGATGATGATGATGATGATGCTGGTGATGATGATGATGATGATGATGATGATGATGATGGTGATGATGATGATGATGATGATGATGATGATGATGATAATGATGATGTTGATGACGATGCTGCTGATGATGACGGCGATGATGCTGCTGATGATGATGCTGATGCTGCTGCTGATGATGATGATGCTGATGCTCATGCTGATACTGGTTATGATGAATCTGATGATGCTGATGATGATGATGATGATGATGATGATGGCGATGCTGATACTGATGATGACGATGATGATGATGATGCTGATGATGATGATGATGATGATGCTGATGCTGATGCCGCTGCTGCTGATGATGATGTTGATGATGATGGTGGTGATGATGATGATGGTGGTGATGATGATGATCGTGTTGACGATGATGATGCTGATTTTGATGATGATGACGATGACGATGATGATGATGATGATGATGATGATGGTGGTGATGATGATGCTGATGGTGATGATGATGATAATGATGATGATGATGATGATGATGATGATGATGATGCTGATGCTGATGATGATGATGATGAGGATACTGGTGCTGCTGCTGATGATGATGATGACGATGATGATTATGCGGCGGAGGAGGAGGAGGAGGCGAGGAGGAGGCAGGAGGAGGAGCAGCAGGAGGAGGAGGAGACCGATCAGCGGAAGGATCGGAGGGAGGGGGGAGGGGGGAGAAGAGTTTCAGATAGAGGGCTAGGGTTTACGGGAGGTGAACGAGGAGGGACGGATAAGGGATCAGTAGAAACAGCAGGGGAAGGAATAGGGAGGACCGAGTGTCGACGAGGTAGAGATACGGTAGAGGGCGATGAGGCAGATATGAGGACACGGGGGAAGTCAGGGAGGGGAGAAGACGGGCGGGATGAGATAGGCTCGGTAGGACGCACAGGATCAGGAAGAAGAAGAGAGGTGGGAGATGACAAGGCAGAGTTAGACAAGGAGGGAACGAGGAGGAGGGGAGCATGTTGAAAGGGAGGACGCTGAGGAGGAGTAGGTTGGAGGATGAGGGGGGGATGAAGAGTAGGAGGAGGATCAGGAGGTTGGAGCAGCTGGGAGGGCGGAGGAGGAGGAGGAGGAGGAGGAGGAGGAGGAGGAGGAGAAGCCCCCCCCGTACCACCACGCCTACAGTCAACCCGCATAGTAGGGACGAGCGACTTCCCAAGGTTAGCCCTTGCAGCTTTCCCCTTCGGTCCATCCCTGGCCGCCTTCGCTGGCCGCGCCATCGCTCGCAGAGTGTCGACGTGGCCCTCCAGGGCCCTCGCAGCCTTCTATCGTGCGCCCTTGTTACGCGGATGGGCTGTAGCCAATCCTGGTCCGGGGGCGCCCAGACTCCCCTGAGTCCGTTGGCGATGGCCCGCAGAGGGATCGGCTCGGTTTAGGAGGGGACAGAAACACAAAGACACGATTCATCGTCGACTCCTTGGAAAACACGGGGAAGTATTGGACGGGGGAGGGAAGACGAACACCGAGGACAAATTCTGAAAGTAGGGCGAATCCTGGAATTAGTGGTCCTTTATGTGTGTGTCCCTGAGCCCTTTGCTCAGTGATTTGAGGCCTCCCAGATGGGGTCCGAGTAGTTGGGGCCGGAGGATCGCGCCACATCGCCGATGCATCGGCGATGCATCGGCGATGTGGCTCGATGTGGAGCCCGTGTTTCCCCACGCCGTCGTCGCCGATGCATCGCCGATGCATCGGCGATACATTGGCGATGCGGCGCGATCCTCCGACTCCACCTACCCGAGCCCTAAATATCCACAAGTAGGTCGAACACACTTCGGAAATTATTTTGTTGGTTATTTTTTGGTCATTTCTGAGTACTGCTTACTTTTTTTGTTTTGTATTTCCTTCAACATCTGCTTGTAGGGGGACAGACCCGACCTAAATCTAGGAGGCCTCTAGTCCCTGGGCCCCTTGCTCAGTGATGCGCGTCTTCTTGCAGCTCCCCTCCACCTCCTACTCGTCTTTCTCCTCCTCCTCCTCCTCCTCCTTCTTCTCTTCCCTCCTCCTCCGCCTCCTCCTCCTTCCCCTCCTCCTTCTCTCCTCCTCCTCCTCCTCTTCCTCCTCCTACTCCTCCTCCTCCTTCCCCTCCTCCCTCTCCCCTCCTCCTCCCTCCTCCTCCTCCGCCTCCTCCTCCTCCTCCTCCTTCTCTTCTTCCTTCCTCCTCCTCCTCCCCCTCCCGCTCCCCCTCCTCCATTCCTGGGCCCCTTGCTCAGTGATGCGCGCCTTCATGCAGCTCCCCTTCTCTCTGCTCACCGTGGCGCGCGCGCGCGCCGTGTGCGCGCCCCCACTTCCTTCTCCTCCTCCGCCTCCTCCTCCAACTCCTCCTCCTCCACCTCCCCCCCTCCCCCCCCTCCTCCCCTTTCTCCTCCTCCATTCCTTTTCCTGATGCATAACCCCCCCCCTCCTCCTTCTCCTCCTCATCCTCATCCTCATCCTCATTCTCCTCCTCCTCCTGCTCCTCCCCCTCCCCTTCTCCTCCTCTTCCTCATCCTCCTCCCCTCCTCCTCCTCCTCCTCCTCCTCCTCCTTCTCCTCCTCCTCCTCGTCCTCCATTCTTATTCCCTATACATAACTTATCCCAGTCGCACCCCGAGGCCGGTCGAACGTTCGGGCTTGGCGTTTCGCCTGAGACTTCCTCCACTCGGCGGCGGCGAGCGAGGGGGGGGAGAAGGAGAGGGCCTTATCAGAAGGCGGCGGGAGAAGGCCTTCTTCGAAGGAGAAGGGCTTCTCAGAAGCCCTCGCGCCTTTCGTGCAATCCTCCTCCACTCCGTTCGTCTCCACCTCTGTTCTAGGCCTCCCAGATGGGGTCCGAGCAGATGGGGTCGGAAGATCGCGCCGCATCGCCGATGCATCGGCGATACGGCCCGATGTGGAGCCCGATTTGCTCCACGGCGACGTCGCCGATGCACCGCTGACCTCGCCGGAGCATGGCCGATGCATTGCCGATGCATCGGCGATGCATCGGCGATGCATCGGCGATGAGGCGAGATCCTCCGATCCCATCTACTCGGGCCCCATCTAGTAGGTTTCTGAATTTTCGCAATCCTCCCATCCGCCAGTCTATTCCCTCCGTGGAGCGCCGCGTGGCCCTTGGCGCTGTTGTGCGATGCCGAGGGCTGCCGCTCGAGCATGCTTCGCGGTGCTCTCTCGGCTGCCACCCTCCTTCTCCACTCAGTAAGTGCGCTTCAAACGCACATGCTGTGTCTCGCCCCACGATGCAGAGCAGGAGCAGGCAGCAGCGGACCGCCTCCATACCACGGGCCGCCGCAGGCGCCGAAGATGGGCCCCCCGCCGGGCAAGGGCTGCGACAAGGGCAAGGGCATGGCCCGGCCCCCAGACGGCCTGCCCGCGGAGCGGCTGGGAGCATGGGCGGAGCAGGCCGATCGGTCTGAAGGGGGGGGCTTGGCATCGCTGGGACGTGTGCATTTTTCTTTCGGCGAGGACCATCGAGGAGCATCCTTGAGCATTTGGCGAAACAGCCACGCACGAAACCGAGAAAAACACAGGGAATGGACGTCCGAGCGATGGCCAGGGGGGGGGTCTTCCCTTCCGGCGAGCCGAGCTCGAGGGTTGCCGACGGTGAGCGACGGCAGGAGACGGGGGTCGAGTGCGCGGACGCTGGCGCGTGAGGGCACGCGTTGGCGCCCCCTTCTCCTCGCCGGGCGCCGCGCAGGCGGCCTGCGCGAGCCTTGGTGGAAGCTCGATGTTCAGGAGGGGAAAAGACACACAGACACAATTAATCGACGATCCCTAGGAAAATATGCGAAAATATGGGAAGTGGGGGGGGGAAGACAAAAACCAAGAAAATATGGGAAAATATTGGGAATCTGTTTATGTGTGTATTTATATATATATATACACACATATATATATATGTATATATATATATATATATATATATATATATGTGTGTGTGTGTGTGTGTGTGTGTGTGTGTGTGTGTGTGTGTGTGTGTTCTGGGGCCCCTTTAGATATGCTCTCGCGCGTAAGCCCCGTATGTCTTCGTCACCCTGGTGTCCCCGGTTCAAGGTCGCCCCAAGATTTCGGGGGAGGCCCGTATGGTCGGTCTGCCGAGCACCCCTCGCGAGGCCCGGAGGGCCCCGGCGGCCCACTGGAGGAAAGCAACTTCGAGGGCACACCTTTCTGCTGAAGGCACCAATCTCGGAATGCCGCCGCCGCGGGTTTCGAAGCACTCCAGCCGAATGTTGCACGCGCGACCCTGATGCGCTTCGCGACGCAAGGGCCGTCCAAAACATCCTCTGGACGGCCGTCTTACATTGGAGTGGATTCGACGAAGATTGTCCACGCAATCTGCTATGCATGTTCATTGAGCTGCCGATGAGATCTGATTTCAAAATCGCAATTTCCACCGGCAATTGAAGGACCCCCTGTTTTCGACACCCTCACCGCCCGAAGTGGTGATAGGAAAGGGGTCCTCGCATGTGTTCGCCGTCGTCTGTCCCTCACTGGGCGCAGGGTTGCCGCCAGAAGGTGAGTCGAGTTGCCGCCATCCTCAGGGGACAGGTCCAGTTTCCAGGACCCATTTCTACCAGGACCCCTCTCCCTCATGACACTCGGTTCCCTCCAAGATGTATCCGGTCGTGGACACTCGGACACCGGGAGGGGAGATAACGGAGAGAAGTACGGCAGTGATGGGGAGGATTGGCAGAAGAAGGAGGATGAGGCGCAGGAGGGAGAGTTGAACCAGGTGGGTGGCGGAGGAGGACAGAGGGAGTGACAGTTGGGAGGAGAAGGGAACAACGAGGGCCTTTTGTGGATAATTAGAGCAGGGAGGAGGAAGCGGAGGATGCGGCGGACGAGGAGGAGGAGGAGGAGGAGGAGGAGGAGGAAGAAGCAGGGGGCGATGGGAGGAGGGCGCAGCACCGGGGCAGGAGCAGCAGCAGCAAAGAGAGGCGGATGAGGGGACGAGGCCAGGGGCAGGAGGAGCAGGTCCATGGCAGACCCCAGAGGCCTCCAAATCGGGAGCCTTGAGACGAGGGTCAATGCAAACGGAGGTCAGCCAGGGCACCAGATCCTGCAGGATCCTGCGAAGACCCTCTCTGGCTGACCCGGGTTAGCGAGCCGCTCGTGGCCGCGAGGCGGCCGCGCATATTGGTTGACCCGGGTTTGCGAAGACCTGCGTTGCTTTTTTTTTGGTCCTGCATTGCAGTTGTTGGTTTCCTACTGAACCGGGTCTTGATTGACCCGGGTCAGAAGATCCCCGACCAAAGGCTGTACGAAGCCCGAAGGGGTCCAAGCAAGCTCATACACCCAGGTCGTATCGTTTAAGCGGTCGCCATCCCCATCCCCTATCCGCTTCGAGTCGGGACCCCCACCAACTTGCCACCACAGTTGGGGAGAAAGCCCTCGAAATCCGAAGGGAACGGCCCATAACCCCATCTAGGGGGGCAAATCGGCCAGTTGTGCCCAGGCCACGCCGCTGGGGATGGGGATCGGTTAAACGATACTCACCAGGATCGATGTGCCCAGCTCGGAGATCTGCGATCGGCCATGGCCTCCGTGATCGGCGGCTTTTCCGCTTCACTGCGGCGCTTGTTCCAGAGTGCCCTGCCGCGGCGGCCTCGACGAATTGCGGCCACGACCTTGATCGACCGCGACCACGACGACGACCAACGCCACGGCAGCGGCGACGAGCGCGGGACGCCGAGGGTCACCCGTATGGCTGGTGAACCACCTGCGCTTCCTGAGCTCACCTCTGGCAGGTCGGATCACGGCCCGACTTCTTCACCGCGGTTGCCGTTGGCAGGGGAGAGAGGTTATGGCGCCAACATCGCAGAGTGTATTTCGTTGGGGATACGATCGGACGGGCCTGGAGTGTCCTGGAGAATGTCGTTCCGGATTTCGAGGTGAATTCCGTGCGTATTATGTTCTGGCCCGGAAGGGAACCTTAAAACAAGTCCACGCGAAATCCGCTCTGTTTTCCGCTCGCCGTTTCGTGGTTTGGCATTGGCAGAAATCCACGCACGAATCCGCTGCAGCACGTTTGCAGGGTCCGGTGCAATGAGAGAGCGGCGACCCCGCGGGCATCTCGAGGGCCTCGGAGCCCAGATCCCCTCGAGCTGTGCGTGGAGACCACCGCGCCGTGCGTCTCTCGCGGCCTGGGCCAGGGAGGTGTCCTCTCGGGGCTTCGGGGACGGGGGCCAGTGGAAGCTGTGTGTTGTTTTGTGTGTTTTTGTGTGTGCGTGTGTGTGTTTGTGTGTGTGTTGTGTTTTTCTTCCCCCGCAGTGTGTGTGTGTGTGTGTGTGTGTGTGTGTTTGTATGTGTGTGTGTGTGTTTTTTGTTGTGTGTGTTTTCCCCCCCCCCCCCCCCACACGGGTCAGTCCGAGCGCCGGATATGTCAGGATCCTGCAGAGCCAGGAGCGCACTGGCCCTGGCTCGAGTGCAGGACCCTGCAGGATCCTGCAGGACCGTGCAGGATCCTGCGAGGCACGAGTGACCCGGGCTCGGATGGACCCGGGCCAGTAGGTCCCCGAGTTCTTCTCCGGGGGCGGCGGTCTGAGAGCGCGAAGATTCATTGCGCTACGCCCGTGGCGCAGCGCGAAGCGCGAGGTGATCTGGCAAACTGCTTTCCCTTGCGCGCGGATGCCTTCGAGATCTGGAGGGCCGTGGAACCCCATCCTGCGGCAGCGGCCGTGAAGAATCGGGCCATGACTTGTTCGTGTCGCATTCCTGGCTTGCCTGACGGCCTTCCGCTCCGCACCGATTGCCCCAGGGCCCGAAACCGGATGAGAACGCTTGGAGTCGGCGCCACCCATCACCACCACAACCACCACCACCACCACCACCACCACCACCACCACCACCACCACCACCACCACCACCGCCAAGCCTTGCGCTCGTTAGGCCGCGTGGGCAAACACGTCAAATGCGTGCAAGAGCGCGGGGAAGCGTGCGCCGCCCCAACGTACCAGTGTTGCGCATGCGTCGCCCCTCCCAGGGCGACGCGGGCACGCCGAGACACCTCACAGCGTCAGCTCATGGCGGGCGCTCCCCGGCCAGACCGCTCGGCAAACGATGCACTGCAAGGGCTATGATGTTCCAACCTGCTTTAAGCTTGATCACCAGACATATTTTCGAGCACCAGAGAAGTACCGCACCTCGAGGGTGTCCACGTGTCGGGCCCCGGGAGACACTCGCCCGACACTCTTTCGACACTCTTTCGACACTTTCCCGGGTGCTCGAAATTATTTTTGGGGTGTGGTCCGAAAAATGTTAGGATAATAAACGATGGCCTAAAAACTCGGAGGTCCGCGCGGACTTCTCAGATCCGCCAAGGCCCAAGGGGGTCCAGCGCCGATCCGAGAAATCCGCACGGACCTCAGAGTTTTCATGTTTATGTCATTGTTCGGCCCCCTCAGATCTAGATTTTTTTGAATGTGGTCCGTAAGTACGATGAGGACAACATCATGCAAGGGGTATGCACTACATGTTCGGCTCGGACGGGCGCGTCCGAGGAGGGTCGGCGGCGAGTCCGGGGGGGAACCTGTGAACAGGGGCGGGCCTTCTCGGAAGGCTCGGGCAGTCCTCCAGGGGCGTTCTGAGATTCTGAGAGCAGCTTTCGAATCGACCTTCCCCTCCTCCTCCTCCTCCTCCTCCTCCTCCTCCTCCTCCTCCTCCCCGAAGGCACTGGGCGCCTCTCAGAAGACCGGACAGGCCTGCTGAGAGGCCCCGCCGCCTTCTGAGGAGGCCCGCCTCCTTCCTCCCCCCCCCGCTCGCCGCCCGGAGGGCGCAGTGTGCCCCATGGGAATCAAGAAGCTGCTGCGAGGAGGAGGAGGAGGAGGAGGAGGAGGAGGAGGAGGAGAGGAGGAGGAGGAGGAGGAGGAGGAGGGGAGGAGGAGTAGGAGGAGGAGAGGAGGAGGAGGAGGAGGAGGCGGAGAGGAGGCGGAGGCGGAGGAGGAGGAGGAGGGAGGAGGAGGAGGAGGAGGAGGAGGAGGAGGAGGAGAGAGGAGGAGGAGGAGGAGGAGGAGAGGAGGAGGAGGAGGAGGAGGAGGAGGAGGAGGAGGAGGAGGAGGGAGGGGGAGGAGGAGGAGGAGGAGGAGGAGGAGGAGGAGGTGCAAGGAATGTGTCACAGCCGCTGTGCACCAGGGGACTCCACGAGAACCTGCTGCCACGCCCGTAGGCCTCTCGGGCTGGCCCCTCCCACGGTCCAGGGCCCGGCGGGGCGAGCGCGCGCGCGCGGCGCGCCGCCTGCTGCACGGCACGCGCTGCCCACTGGCAAGCTGCCGCGCGCTTTGTCGGCGTGCCGGCGCCAGCGCGCCAGCGCGGCGTCCGTGCCTGGGAGAACCGAGGCCCAGACCTGATCGCGTCGTAAAAAAAAAAGTCCCGGCGGGAGGTGGCTTTGGGCGATTGTCGGCCTCAGGGGGGGCCCTCGCCGGGCCTCGGGACCGTCAAACAACGAGTCGGGACGAAACACCGGTCCCGGAGAAAGGGCTGGGACTTCAGGGACGTCGCATGTGTGGGAGAGAGCCGGGGCTCCCGACCGGGTTGGTGAGCACAGCGTGCGGTGAGTCGGTGAGGATTCGGGGTCACGGCACGGTCTTGGGGTCTGGCAGGGGGCCAGGTACGAACCCTACCCCTACCCCCAACGATGTCTGAGGGGGAGGAGGAGGAGGAGGAGGAGGAGGAGGAGGAGGAGGAGGAGGGAGGAGGAGGAGAGGAGGAGGAGAGGAGGAGGAGGAGGAGGGGGAGGAGGAGGAGGCGGAGAGGAGGCGGAGGAGGGGGAGGAGGAGATGGACGGGAGGAGGAGGAGGAGGAGGAGGAGGAGGAGGAGGAGGAGGAGGAGTAGGAGGAGGAGGAGGAGGAGGAGGAGGAGGGGGAGGACCAGGAAAGGAGCAGGGGCCTTTCTTGAACGAGAAATCGTGGGGGGGTAGGGATGGGGTTTGCACGTGGCCCCCTCTTTGGGTCGTTCTCCGAGTCTGTCTCGGGCGATGGGAGCCTCCAGAGGGTCCCAGAGCCGTGTGGTGGCGGACCGTGCGGTGGGGATTTTGGCGGACTTCCAGGTCGCGGGCCCCCAAGCCTCGAGGCTTCCCCGTTCCCAGATGTTAGGATTATGATGCTCCAACCTACTTTAGCCTTGATCACCAGGAAGAATTTCGATCGCCCCAACAAGTACCGAAACTCGAGGGTTTTCACGTGTCGGGCCCTGGGAGACACTCGCCCGACACTGTTTCGACACTCTTTTGACACTTCTCCGGGTGCTCGAAACTATTTCTGGGATGTGGTCCTTCAGTAGGATGGGAACAACATAATGCTTGGATACTAAACAATGACATAAAGACCCGGAGGTCCGCGCGGACTCCTCCGATCCGCCAAGGGCCAAGGGCGTCCAGCGCCGATCCGAGAAATCCGCGCGGACCTCCGAGTTTTCATGTTTATGTCATCGTTCGGCCCCCGAAGATCTCCGCCGGCGTGTCCTTGTGGAGAGGGTCCGGGCGCCTGTCCTGGCCTTCGGCCTTTGGGGGCCGCTACGGTCGGGTGGGGCTGGGACGAGGAGAATTCCGTCCCAGAGCCTCCCGGATCTCTTTCCTCCCGGAACGCTCTCGGAGCGTTCTGGAACGCTCCGGGAAGGCCGCGGCGCCCGACACGTTTTCCAGAGCTGCCGCATCCCAGAGACTCGCAACTTATCCTCAACCGATTTTACCCTCGTCCGGCTGCGTCTTATGCTGGGCCCCAGGGCCCTCAGGCCTGGGCGCGGGCGTATTTTTCAGAGATTGTGGCCTCGGGAGGCAGTGCGGGGGCCCCACAGGGCCACCAGAGAGGGGTCCGGGGCGGCAAACTGCCCCCGGGGAGGGGTCGGGAGCTTCATGGGGCCAGGGATGGGAAGGATCAGATCGGCGGATGCCGGGTCCCCTCCTCCTCCTCCGACCTCCTCGTCCTCCTTCTCCTCCTTCGCCTCCTCCTCGTCCTCCTCCTCCTTCTCCTCCTCCGCCTCCTCCTCCTCCTCCTCCTCTTCCAGATGATCCTCTCCTCCTTCGCCTCCTCCTCCTCCTCCTCGTCCTCCTTCTCCTCCTTCGCCTCCTCCTCCTCCTCTTCCAGATGATCTCTCCGTTCCCTCCTCATCATCCCAGGCACCTTCCCCTCCACCTCTCCCTCCCGCCTTCCCTCCTCGTGGCCCACAAGGGGTCCAGGTGCAAGGGGGTGGCGCAGTAGATTTGGGGCACTTGTACTGCAAAGGTACTGCGCCTGCGGATTGCATTGCACTGTATTGCAACGAATGTACTTCCACGCGAAAATCCAGCAACACATTCGCGCCCCAGCGTGTTTTGCACACCACCCAATCTACTGCAGCCCCACAACACTATGGCTGCACCAAATCTATTGCACCACGCCCTCTTCGCTGGACCCCCTTTTGGGTTGACCAGCTTCCCGCTCCACCTCCCCCCGCCTCTCCTGCCCCTGCCTCTTCTCCAGCGTCTTTATCCCTGCTGCGTCTCCTTGTCCACCTCCTCCCGCTCCAGTGTGCAAGAGGTCCCCCTCGCCGACCGCGCAGCAGACGGGGGGGCAAGTCCAGCGAGGACCTCCTGAGGGCTGTCGGAGGTACACGACGGTCATTCAAAGTATGCCTTCTTCGATGTCCAGATGCAGATCTGCCCTAGGGGCCATCCTGCTTCTCCGAGGGTCCAGCGGTTTTCCCTCCCCTGTTCAGGGGTTTGCGGAGACCGAATCTACC